CAGCCTCTGTCCATGGTGGCCCCAGGCACCCTGCAGACAGGCTGCTCCGCATCCCATGAAGCAGCCTCTGTCTGCAGTGAGCCTGGGCCCGCTGTGGGCAGAGGCTGCTTTGTGGTAGCAGTTCCTGTCTGCGGAGGGGCCAACCTAAGACCCCTCCCCCTCCACGGACGGTGCTGTTGCCACTCCGTGCTGCTGCCTCTCTATTAAGAGCGCGGTGCAGCAGGCAGCCGGTCTGCATGGGGAGCTGGCTTTTAAACTGGCTCCCCTCGGAGACTAGCTCCCTCTGCCACCCTGTGCTGCTGCCTCTGATACAGACAGCAGTGCAGGGCCGCAGGGGGCTCCCTGGGAGTGGGTCTGGGAGCACACTGGCTGCCGGCCCTGCCACTGAGGATTATTGAATAATTGTGGAACTGCTAAGATTTCATGTGATTACACGATTGATTATTCAGTTATCTGCTATCTAGGATCCCTGCTCTTAATGTGTTTCCCTCCCAAACATTTAAGGGGTGGAAAAGGGACCCTTCTTACCATGCTAAAGTTGTTGGTGTTAAGGGGCTAACCATTACTACTCTTTCTGAGTCTTTCCAAAGCCTCTGCATCGTCCACATGTGTCTTCAATTATCCTTGATTAGGTATGAACCCTGTCTCAGTATTTCCAGAGGCATATTTGCTTGCAGTTATTTAGAAGGGATTGGTGGTGGAACAGGCCTTTGTTGGGGGAGAAAGCTCTGTTTTAGATCACTACTGTGTTTAGAGTGTGCTCTTCCACTTATTGAGCGTTGACAATGTACACGAGGTAGCGTGGACTTTGACAGCCAAGAAGGCTGCAGTCTTGTCTACTGGTTAGAGCAGACTGGCAGGATGGCAACACCTTTTAACCCACCCGTGCCACAGTTTACCCATCTGAGAAATGTTGGATGCCTTACTCGCTCATGTTAGACATCACATGGCTTAAGTAACATTAAAAAACTTTAAAATACCTTTTGTTCCAGGGCCTAACTGCAGAGCAGTAAATGTTGGATGATGCATGTCAAGTTACTTTGCATCCTTTGTAGTGTAGGAGTCTGCAGAGCATTCAATCCTTTAGACTGGTAGTTTGTGACAATAGTATCCGTCTCACTAACTAAAGCATTGACTGAGGTTCTTCTCATTCACTAAGGTTGAAATTTTCTCAGCTTCATCCGGGCATTAGAAAGTAGATCCGGAGCGTCTGCCCAGCTCTGTGGTGGGGCAAGAAGGGGGTTGGAGTGCAGCACAGGTTCCCCAATGCAGGGGGGAGGAGCTGAGCCTCAGAGGTCGGATCTAGGCAATCCGGGGGCCACATGCGGCCCTCAGGCCTGAGGTTCCCCACTCCTGCTATAAATGCTGCTTAAAATTAGAGCAATCTTGTTAAGCATGTAGAGTTGTCTCCATCTCTGACCTTTCTTCCTTTTGGTGCACGTGGTCCAGCATTGTCCACACAACTAGCGAACATTTCACGAGTGACTGAGGCACATCTTTCTATTCCTAGTGTAAGGTAAAGAAGGAACTTAGTGCACTCCCTTTCCCAGGCTGACTCATGGTGGAAACCAATAAAAGCACGTGCCTCTCAAAGTTTGAATCAGGCGCGTAAGTACGGGAACCGGAGTTGGTTTTGGTCAGTCTGGTTTGAGGGACCGGAGAGAATAAACATGTTTCGGCACCTGTTGTTTTACATACACCGCGTAAGTACGGGAACCGGAGTTGGCTTTGGTCAGTCTGGTTTGAGGGACCGGAGAGAATAAACATGTTTCGGCACCTGTTTTACATACAGGGGTGTAAAAATACTGCAGCTCCTGCTACCTCCGCCCCTTCCTTTATAGGCACTGTGATTTTTTTTTTATTTCTTTCTGCGATGCCACCCCCGAGGTCCTCCTTGTCGTCCTGGTATTGTAATGGAACAACGTTTCCACTATTTGTTGTAGTAATAGTTGTCAGAAGCACAGTAATTTGACTGTCATCTGCTCTATAAATAAATGCAAGCATCTTTCTCTCAGCGGACACGCACCCTGACCATAATCAGTGGTGTTGAAGTTGGCTTCCTTCAACGTAACTACTGCAGGACTTGGTGCACCTTCATCTTATTAATTTTAAACAAATCTTTGAGTCTTCTTCCCGCCCCCTCCACTGCATTGTTATTCATGGCAATCATTTGCTGTTCTTCGCTGCAGAAGCTGGCACTTGCCTGCTCCAAAAAGATTTAGTTTTATTGCTGACACAGTGTGGGCAAGACTGCAAGCTCTGATAGGTAGGGTTGCCAGATGGTTGAAACAAACTCTTCCCCCCTAAAAAAAAAATGATTCCAAGACCATTTTGTGCCTTGCAGAACCAGATAAGCATGGGGGCTGGGGGTGTTTGGAACCGGGGGGGGGAAGCAAGTTGCTTCTCAGTTTAAATCTCTGTGGTAGTCACAGAGATAGGATCACTGCTGGGGTTACCAGGTAGTCATTTTAAAAAAAACCCCAAAAAACCAGACACACTTCATGGGGGGAGGAGCAGGAAGGGGGGGCAATGGGACAGGCAGGGGGGAATGCGGCCGGACACCTGGCAACCCTACGAGTGGATTGCTAGGAGGGCAAGGCATTTTCTGTGAACAGGAACGTTGTCGTTGCACAGCTGTGTGGATTTTAAAACAGCCTCCCGAGAGCTACGTTTTTGGTTTGCAAGATAAGATTTTCATTCAGCGAAGGCCCTTTGAGAAGTGGAAATGTATGTGCGCATACAGCTTTATGTTGATCAGCCTGGTCTTGCATTTTCTTTCTCCTTTTGACAAGTACTCACTGTGTGTAACTTGTTTCAGTTAGAATGCAAGCTGCCAGGGATTGCTTGGCCTTTCAAATAAAGCACACGCCATTCCAGTAATGGTCTGTGTTGTGTGGTGTAGGATCCTTGCTGCTTGGTGGGAACCAGGATAGAACTTTAATCCGCTGTTCTCGCATTGTGCCCCATTGCCATGCATGGTGACCTAAAAAACTAACAGGGAGACCTGATACTACCCTGTCTCCACAGCTGTCAGGTTTCACTGTGTAACATTGCCCTTGTTCTAAAACTACCTTTAGTTTTGAAGGGGTGCATCTGTAAGAGCTGCCTTTTAAAATCCAGCTTGGATTTAACAACCTACTTTGTCCAGAAATGTGCCCTGATTTGGGGGGGGGAGATGCATTTTAAAATTCCTGCACTTCTATGGCCTCCGTAACTGGCTCCCGTCCAGTTTCCTGTTTGACATCATGTGCTATTTCACGGCTGCAGCTTTTACAACTGCTCTCAAGTGTAATCTGAGCTGAAACGGGCCAACTTCAGCAGCTGCCTGTGGAGGAACTCTGTATGCTGCCATGTCTCTCTTTTCCTCTCGCGCACTCTTTTGCTACGAAACTTAGAATTATCTAATTGCATCTAGTCCGTGCATGGGGTGTGGAGGACAGGAAAGAGAGATCGGTGGAAAGGGCTGTTGAATACTTTGTACCATGCGTGCTTTTTTAAAATAAGCGGTACTCTTTGCAGCAAACGCTGTGGATCTTGCAGACATCCCCCCCCCTCCGCTCGCTCCCTTCCACCAACTGCTTCAAGGCGTGCCGTTTCTGTTCTTCATTTCTGGGAATTGGAAACCATGGACAAGAAACAAGGTATATGTTGCAATTTCCAAAACACGTATCGGGGAGATCTAAAGAGCCATTCAAATGGCAAAAGGGGTTGTGGAACTTTTGTTATGTCATTCCGTGTGGTTTTGCTTTGTGTCCTTGCTCGGAGGGGGTCTCTATTTGTGGCCAGGTAGCTATTTTGAAAGCTAATGGAAACTTGCATGCATTGGGTTGCAATACCAGCTGTAGGTGCACAGGCCGGCATGAGGACAGAAATCTGCAGCTAAGCTTGAGTCTTTTTTCCTCTTTTAAGAATTTGCCAAACACAACTCTGTGTGTGTGTTTTTGCACACAAGTCCTGTTGCACTACAGTTGAGTGCCCAACTTGGAGCCTGCTGCTGTTCAGAGCTGAGATTCAGCATAGGTTAACAGGTGTCTTTTTTTTTGGTCTGCAGTCGGCTCTGACTGGAAGGGGCTTTTTATGAACTGCTTTTTTCCTCCTCCTGGTTCACTGCTTGTGCCTTGTTTTCAACTTCTGCAAAAATGCAACAAAGGGGGGGGGGGGGGGGGGGTGACCGACTCCACTCAGTGTTCTTTTTCCACTGCTTGGATTGCTCTCTTCAGGCTGCAGCATGGTGCAAATATTGCCCTGGCTTCTCTGCAGGGAGGCAACTCTTGTGTCTTTGCTTCACCTGGGCTTGAACAAAGACATTAACTGGATGTCCCATGATAATGCCAGACTTCCACACGTTTAACACCTCATTTACATCCAAAGTAAGTATGGAACACTCCCCGCCCACTCAGCCTCATTAGCACCGGCACTACAATTGACAGGTACCCCCCCTTTCTTCTTCTGTTATAAATGCTGAGTTCCTGTCCCCCTCCCCACTCCGGCTCATCTGAAGTGGGTTTTGCCCATGAAAGCTCAGGATACAATCTACGTATTTTGTTAGGTGCTGCTAGACGATTCATTGGTTTTTTTAAAGTTTTTACTATATACTTTGTTAGTCTCTAAGGTGCTACTCGTCTTTATGTGAGGAGATTGTCACCTGATCTGTTATCTTGCCTTTAAAGCAGACTGTTATCTTACTGTTCCTCCGTGGCTTGGATGGAACAGCGGGTTTCTCATCTAGCCACCTCCTTCTTTTGTGTGGTGTTTTTTTTTTTTTTTTTTCATGCCCAAATCAGCAATCTGACGAAACCAAACCCTCTCGGGGTATCACTAACTTCCTTTCCCCCCACCCTCAAGCCACCAGTCTTGTTAATGCTTCAGTTCTCTTCCCGGTTCCCCGTGTATGGTAGGGTTCTGTAGTGCTGCTGTCTTTCCTCTGCGCCGTGTCTGGGGCTGGCACATGGGAGTACAGAGGCTGTGAGGCAGCAAAGGTAGCATTTCAAAGGTCAGCTCAGTCAAATAGCTTTATTTACAGTTCTTAAGATTTTCCCTGCTCGGTTCCACCCACGTCAGCCCGTTGGGAGAGGTACCACACATACACGGAGGTCAAATTAAACCGCTCCAGGAAACACAGTTGTGGGCAGGGAGGATGTTAACTTTATCAAGGTTATGACAGGAGAAATTCAGTCAGTGACTTTTTCTAGGAAGGGAAATAGTTCCCCTCTCAGCATAAAGGGTGCAGAGATGCCGCTTTGGTGACGTACTGGGGACTGGAATTCTTTTTTACACAAGGAATTTGTGACCACTTTTCTCCTATACTGTTGCGACTAGTGGTAGGTCTACTCAGAGCAGCGTTCAAGGACATGGTCATCAGCATGCCCGTTCCTTATTTGCAATGATGGTTTCCTGTCGGTAGCATCGCATCAAGAGAGTTGCAACTGTTCAAGAACACTTTACTGGTGGTCCCTAAGGCAGCAGGTAATGAGGGCCTGGCTGCTGGACAGTTTCTCTGGAGCTGGCAGAATTAGATGAGGCTCACGAACCTTTTGAGCTCTGCTTCCCTGAAATCACATCTCTCAGTATGTCTAAACTACATCCCTCTGTCGAAAGAGGGATGTAAATTGAGCAAATTGAAAGTGCAAATGAAGCGGGGATTTAAATATCCCACGCTTCATTTGCATAATTGCATCACAGCGCTTTTTAGAAAAAGGGTATTTCTAAAGTGAAAGTGCCGTTTAGATGTGGGTCTTTTGAAGACCCTTCCCTTTTTCAAAAGATCCCATACTCCTTAAATAATGAAAAGTACAGGATCTTTCGAAAAAGGGCTTTTTTTTTTTTTTCGGAAGAACTGCATCTAGCCAGCGCTTTCACTTTTGAAATACCCTTTTTTCGAAAAAGCACTGAGATGCAATTATGCAAATGAAGCGTGGGATATTTAAATCCCTGCTTCATTTGCACTTTCAATTTGCTTAATTTACATCCCTCTTTCGACAGAGGGATGTAGCTTAGACGTACCCTCTGACGACCATCTCTTTGCCTCATTTGAATTCTGGCGTGATCCTTGCGGCACGTGGGCCCGGTTCTTGGCTGGCATAAATCGATGTGGCTGTGCTGACGACGGTTGGAGCTGCACCGGTTTATTCTGGCAATTTATCCAGCCCCATGTTTCTCAAGCTTTTAGTGCTAGAAGTCAAGGAGCTGGGATGAATGCAGGGTTCTCAGGCAACAGGAAGCATTTGTTTCTAGTTCTAGTGGAAACCTGGTTGGAATTGAAGCATGTGGGAGAGATAGGTAATCAAGATGACACAAGGTTCAGAGCTGGTATGTAGCCACTTGCTGGGGCTGGAAATGGATGCATTGCTGGGAGCTGGTCAGGATGGAAGGTCTTGAGTTGCAGAGTTTTGTAATTCTCATCCCACTGTCTTTAAAAAGTTCTTCCCCCTCCCACCCCTTCCTTTGCCCTGAAATGGGGTGTCCATAGGCTCATTGAGGGGCATTCACAGTGCAGCTACGCTACCTAGCTGAGTGCCTGGCACTCAGCTGTCCAAGTCTTGTGCTTACAGAGAATACCCCAGCTCTGCTACGGCAGTGCCCTGGGGGTCCTTCCAGCCAGCTGGAGTGGGTCTCTGCTTTGAGGTCTGCTTTTGGCCTAGCATTGGGCTTATGAAGAGTGCTTTATGCCTCTGGAAGAAAAGACTGCAGCCAATGCACAGAGAGCCCTTGCACCAGAGGGTTACGGTTTCTCCTGCCGCGGGCCGTACTTTGGACATGCCTGATTTAGATGGAACTGTGAGTGTGTGCCTCCAGGCCTTACAGTAATGGCTGCTACTCTTCAGTCTGGCTACAGAAGGCGGCTTTGGTTCAGGCCTAGCACAGGCCTTCCAACATGGCTACAGTAAAGCCATATTGTTAGACCTGGCCTGGAGAGAGCACTAAGGATCAAGCTAGAATGGGGGGAACCAGCTACAGGTCGCCAGCCCCCATGTGAGCGGTGTGTGTTGTAGCAGCTGTGCACATGGTAATTAGTGTGACTGGCGGTGAGCGCTGAGGGTGTGTTTGTATTAGGGATGTGATAGTGTAAATGGTTAACCATCGGTTAACCTTCAGGGTTACACACAGCTGCCCCACCCCACACTACAGCCTCTGTATCAGAGGCAGCAGCGTTAGGGCAGGCAGGAGCCAGGTACACATGGGGCTTTTAAACCAGCCTGCATGTGCTGCCTTATGTGGAGCTGCATTCTCCTTCCCCCTTCCCCTCCGCAGGACCTGTTCTTAAAAGCTGGCACCTCATGAGCGCCGGGGGAGAGCTGGCTTAAAATTTCAGCTGTTATACGTTTACCAAAACAAATGCATTTTAACGTCCCTAGTTTGTATCGGTGTTAACGTCACCACTGGAGCAAGGGAGTTGGGTGCAGAGCCTGCTAGTTTCTTCTCGATACTTTGGTTCAGTCATGATTTTCAGATCTAAGACAGGAAGTCTCTTTGGGGTGTGCCTAGACAAGGGGAACAGTCACACCAGTGTAGGGATATTTTGCAGCATTCGCTTACGGGAGTAGGTCATTCCACAGCATGCCCATTCAGCACAGAGGTAGTGCAGTCGTGTTGCTGAGCTGCACCAAATAGCTACATTTAGGGGAAGGGGCGGGAAAGGGTTACAGAAACAACAAAGCCCCCAGGTTCACCAGTTCAGAGGGGTCCTGTGCTTGTCCTCTAGAAGAGTAAGGGGCAGGGATGTTTACATGTGGGATTTTCACCATTTGCACTGAAAACATTTCTGAGAGCTACCTCCTTTCAGTCTGTTTTTAACACCCTCCCCCTGCCCACCCCAGGACTGAGTAGCGGGTGCATCAGTCTTAAGTGAGTTTGTCTGTGCAAAAACCTTGTGCTATAGTTTCCACATTACTGATGGGGAAACTGAGGCACAGAGTATGACTACACTGCAGTTAGACACCCGGAACTGGCCAGTGCCAGCTGACTGGGGTGTATGGGGCTGTTGAATTTCAGTGCAGATGCTCGGGCTAGGACCCTCCCATGTCACAGGGTTCCTGTGCCTACCGCCTGTGCCTGAATCTCTGTTCTACAATTAAAAAAAAAACTCCTTCGCTTGAGCAGCTGCAAGCCTGGCATGGGCTGTTTGTGTGTTGTGCCTACCGCCTGTGCCTGAATCTCTATTCTGCAATTAAAAAAAAAACTCCTTCACTTGAGCAGCTGCAAACCTGGCACGGACCGTGTGTGTGTCGGTCGAGCCTGGCACGGGCCTACTGTGTGTGTGTGTGTGTGTGTGTGTGTGTGTGTGAGACTGCAGTGTGGACATACTCAGAGAGCAGTGTTCCCTGTAAGTTGTGCGTTTGTGTGGCCACTCAGGAGAGATTCCAGTGCCGCCCAGCACATTCGCACATGCCTCAGTGCACATAACAAAATTAATTCTGCGCCTGGATGGAAAAAATCTACACATGGATGGTAAAGATAAAAGGGAATATTGCCAGCGTGACTAAGTGACTTACCTAAGGTCACACGGGAAGGCTGTGGCAGAGTAGGGTATTGATCTCAGGTCTTGGAGTCCCAGAGACTCAGCTGCAAGCCTCAGTGAAGCCTGCAGCATAGAAGCAGCATTGTATATGCTGCTGGTAGTTACTATGGTAACTTCAGAGCAATACGGGGTGAATGGGCAGCAGAAGGATTAAGCAAAGTAGCTGCTTTTAAACCAGATCTGGCTCATTTCAGTTTCCAGTGGAGACAGACTTTTTAGCAGCCGCCTTCAGCTCTGACTCCCAATGGGCCTTACACCAGCCTCCCTTTTTGTGCCCACGGATCAGAGCAATGCACCTGCTAATAATAGTTATAAAGGCATGTGGGTATCTCCTGGGGGCGTGCAGCAGATGTTGCCTTGCTCTTATTTGCAGGCACAAGACAATGGAGGCTGGTATTTTGTATAGCCTGGGGCTCCCTGCTGGATCACAAATGTGCTGGGTCCCCTGTGCAGCTGCGACAGCATCTTCTTCGAAGGTCCCGTCCTCCCTCGCAGAACGGCATCGCTGAGCGGCAGCTTGGTCGCTGGAGCTGGAGTTTGTCCTGTGCATGGCAGGCTGAGACCTGGAACTTCACTCCATCTAAATTAGCTCTGGGAGGCTTGCCCGGCCTTTATCGGTGAACTGGAATGGGTGAAGACACACAGCAGGAAGTGTGGAGCAAAGGGGGCTCCTTTTGGACAAAGATGCAGTTTCATTTTCGGGGCTGTGGGTAAGGAGGCAGAGTTTTCCTAAAAGGCCTGGACTGAGCAAAGCACTGAAATCCCTTCTTTTTGTTGGAGCTTAAGTATGAACTCAAGGGCGGGATTTTCCAGGCATGCTGACTTTTTTTTAGCTTAATTAACCCTGCTGCTACAATTGACAGGTAACTTCTTTTGCTGTTCTGTATACCCCAGGTTCTATAATTTCCCCTCCAACTCTTCTGATGAAGCAGATTTTATCCACAAAAGCTCACGACCTAATACATTTCTTAGGCGCTAAGGTGCCACAGGACTGCTTGATGTCCCACTCAGAGTGAATTTGCCCTCCGAGAGCGAAGCGGACTTGTGCTCCCATAGCATTTAAGCCCATTTGGAAAAATTCCACTGAAGGGCTAGGTAGTGGTGGATTCAAGCATGCGCTTAACTTGGAGCACGTGCTAAAGTTTCTTGCTGATTTAAGGCCAAAATGAAGTGCTCGGAGAAGCTGTGGATCTTGGTGCGTTCTGTGTGCTGTTGCTGTCGGTGAAATGGGTGTAGCAGAGAGGGGAGCTGAGCTGTCTTTAGTGAGCTCCAGTTTGTGGTTGTGGGGTGAGCTCTCGACACCTGGAATAAGGATGTTAAAATGCAACGATACCGTTTGTATCGACTATATGATGAGTCGAAAAGCACCTCTGCAGTCCGCAGCGGGGGCAGCTCCCCCCGCCAACTCGAGCCAAGACTGAGCAATCCCGGCTCGTGCCGACTCCAGAGCCACCTGAGCTGCGGCTCTGCATTTTAAATGTAAGAGCTGCTGGGCTTTTACTACGTTTAAAATGCAGAGGTGCAGTGATCAGCGCAAGCTGGGACTGCTTGGTCCCGCGTTGTGCTGAGTCCAGCTGCCCCTGTTCATAGTGGCCAGCCCAGCTCCCTGCTGGGACCACTGCGGACAGCCGCTGCTTCCCAGCAGCATCCCCATCCCCCCTGCTGCCTCTGATAGTGTCAGCAGGGCGTGGGGGGAGGTGGCACCCCAGAGACCGTGCTGGGGGGGGAACTGGCTTTTAAACCTGCTCCCCCCAGCACCGGCTCCTGTGCTTCCTCTGAGAGGCAGCAAGGGGGTGCGGCAGAGAGCACTGGGTGAGCGGGGCTGCGTGAGTCCCTGCTCGCTCTGTGCTCCCTGCAGCACTTCTGCTTTTGCAATATACAAGCGCACCACAGGGCTCTTGTATGTTTCAAAAGCAGAAGCGCTGTTGCCCTTTCCTGCTGCGCCTCTCCCTCCCCACCCCCGCCGCAGAAATGCGGGGGGGGGGAACCAGCTTTACTAGTTCACCCCAGCACCGGCTCCTGCCCCCCCTTGCTGCTGATAGAGGCAGCAAGGTGGGGGGAGTGACTAGTCGAGTTGACGATCCGATAAGCACTTGCTTATTGGATAGTCGACTAGTCGCTAACATCCCCAGCCTGGGAACATGTGGCTTGGGGCCTTCTCAGAGCTGGTGAATGGATTTGTGCTTTGTTTTGCGTTTGCTCCTATGGTACCCCAGCAAGTATTCAGAGAAGTATCATCAGCGTGTAAATCTCCCAGGGTTATTTATAGCTTCCCTCCCCCAGCTGGGTTCCAGCAGGGGGGGGTG